ACTGATGTGAAGCAATGAAAGCCTGGCATGGTAGCTTTGCGGTTTCTTCTTTATAATCCTGCATATTGGACATCAGGACATCTGAAAACATACCATGTTAGAGTTTGCAATGTTTCATATTGAGCTGATCCTTTTCGTTATTAGTGCTAAATAGTTCTGGGGCCTGTCTTCATATTCTCCACACATTCTGAATGGTGTAGGAAGTCACAGTATCTTAACGAAATGTTTTAAAGATGAAGATGTAAAAATAGAAAATCAGCTGAAAATCTAAGGTTCACCAAAAATAGTAAATTGTTATGATTTTGGCAAGTATGTGTTTTTTACAATCGCAATGAATTGTAGTTGTTAAATCTAGACTATGATGATAATGATTGATTTAAATCCTTTGGACATACATTATATAGGCTTCCATACATGGTTTTTATCAATGTTAATGTTTGCATTGCTAAAGGTGTGGGGACCAGAATCAGACATCCTAGAATTGTTTCACACCATTTCTAGTTAGTTTGACAATGCTGAGGTTTTTGAAGAACTAAACAATTTCACTTTCCGTAATTTAATTTATTTTCATAAAAAAATGTCTACTATATTGCATTCTGTTAGGGCAAATACTAAATTAAGGAGAAGTGACATTCATGCAGGATCACTGTATTAAGATGTACACCAAATGTGTATTCAGCTTTTGCCTACATTATCCCAAAGCACTTTTAATATAGGAGGGGAACCATATCATCCACTGATGAAGTACGGCCGCTACCTGGGTAAAGAACGGCAACCTCACAACCCAACAAATCAGGAGAAAGACAGAAGGCACCTCACCAGTTGAATTAAAAGGGAAAATTTTAGGCAGGCCAGACAAAAAAGAAGAATTTTAACCAAGACCTTATCCCTGCTTTTTCAAACTTTAGAACTCAGTCTAGTATCACATCTGAATGACAGTACCTCCTACAGTACTCTGTCTACAGACATTGTATTGGAGAAAACTTCTAGTCCAAAAGTAGCAGGTCCACCAAGACCACACAGCAGCAACCTGGTTTTCTAGTGTCCCATCCCAGTACTGACCAGGTGCCACCTTGCTTACCTCCTGAGATCAGAGTATATAGTTATGTTTCTATCTGCTCCGTTAACTCAGGTTTGACAGACCGCTAAAGTTAAACTTTTAAGTCGATGCCTGTTATGACATGTAAGTACTTTAGGGTTTTATGTGCAAAAGTTCTAGGTTTTAATCTTCTGTAAAGGCAGTCTGTAGATAATGAATGTTTGTATTTGCTGCCTTTCCAGTCTTTTTTTAATTAAAGTGATATTCCATTAAATAAAGTTTAAAACCACTTCTCAAACGTACAATGCCGTTTCCTGCCAGAAATATTAAACCAGTGAAATGTAAAACAGATGTATAACCTGTTGTATCTTGTTTCCATTATTCGCTGTAAATATTGAGTCTGCAAATTAAAAGCATATAAAATGTGTTTAAATAAAACACTGATGATTTCACTTGCAGTAATGCATTTTTAAGCCTCTTCAGCTTCTTTATATCAAGAGTGAATCAAACCTTTTTTTTCTGAGTGATTTATTCTGTTCATTAAGAAAATCTAATAATGTATCAACAAAAGCTGAGGTAAGGCTCAGATATAATCCACTGTTAATTAAAAGTGAACAAACAGGACCACTGATATCTTGAAATGCTGACACATTTCTGAATGCTGCAACCCTGATTGTTCCTTTGGGCAGAAAAAGCAAACTCATCCATTTTTAGTTACTGGTGAGTTTGCCTAAAGACAGAATATTAAAAAATAGCCTATACTGGTGTATGTAACCAGTATGATAATAGATGGGACACACACACAGTTTCCCTGTTTACAAATAAAATAATTTGATCAAGGTTTTTTACGTATAGTAAATCTGTAGTATTTTTGTCTTTAACAACAAAATAACCATCAGCATTAATATTAGAAAATAAACATTGTAATTATGAAACATGTCTGATATTTCAGCGAAATGATTGTTGAAAATAATTTGTTCAAGAAATAGCACAGAACCAAAAATCTGGAATAATAAATCCCAAACGAGCCAAATTAATCTGTAATCTTTGGACTAATCAGGTAACCATGGCTTCAGGTGGAACAAAGCTCCAAAATCAATATTTTCTAGTAACAGCCCTGGTTTGATTTATTGGTAAATTAATTCGTCACGTCACAGCCCAAGGTGAAATTTAGGAGAGACCATAATTCACGTCCGAACCGGAGGATTTAAAAAGCCACATTGAAATAAAGGTACGAACGTGTGGCTTGAGACATAACCTATTTGTTACATTCTCATTTAAAATGTTTTCAGTGTTTATTTTATAGACAGCGATGTGAACGCAACTTGTTAACACACCAGTAACGTTTTGTTTTTAAGTCCTGAAATATTTCAAGAGGCGGAATATAAGACAAGCATAAAAACACTTATAAGCGAGCGATGGCTATTTCACCCCCCCGTTATTTGGTAGTAGCCAGTTAATCCCAGGATTTTATCCAGATTTTTCCTGAAAGGGTGGAGGGGGATAATGACAAATGGTCAAGTAAAACAATCTGTTACTGTTACACCCATCCACCATCTCAAACCACGAGTGAATGAAGAAAAGACAACACCGCAACACTGTCCCTTTAATCGCCATGACGCAGCGAAAGAGGGTGTGTGGGATAGAGGCGAGGTTGTGGTTTCTCTTGAGCATGTGGGACTAACTGGTAAGTCGTACGTTTTATTCATTAAGCGATGTAGTTGCTAATAAAGGCCTTCAAACACTGTTTTGGTGTTAAAACGAATTTTAAAGGCGTTAAGAAACCGCCTGGGAGACATCGCGAGTAAATGAATACAAAATCTGTACCAGATTTCGTTTAGTTAGGGGTAGGATCGTTTCAGCCATACAGCTGAAGTCGTGTTCAGTTTTCTTTCGTAACATCCTAAAATCGTGTTGGTTTAATACCTGATATATGCAATTTCGGGCGGAACACCGTTTTTATCTCGCAGAAACCCGACACGTTTGTCACTTTTCTAAACCTTTGTAGAAACAAAACACTGTCCATTTATGAACGGTGCCTTGATCCGTACTATATTACCCAGCCAACCACTTAAGACAGGTCTGTCGTGTCAAACGTGTCAACGTTGCTCCGCTTAAACTGGTGATAGCCGGAAGCCGGGGAGTATGTGAATGAAACTTCCAGTTCCGCCAGTTTAGGCATTTAAAAAGCGATACTGTGACCCGCTTGTTTCAGCCATACCGGAAAACATCATATCGTTTGTCTTTCAGCTCTGTTACTAGCATCGCATGCAAATTGATAAACTATAAATGTATGCTGATTGATACAGGATCTGTCATACATATATAAAAATGAAAAGTGTAATTAGTAGTGGGGCATATTCTTTCTTTCCGAACTGTTCCTGCAAGACCTACCCTTTAGATACTGAAAACATTTCTGTTTGCAGAAATCACTAAAACGTTAAATAAAAACGTTTGCTAATGGAAAGCTCTCCCATGTGTTGAAATTATCATTATTTTCAGACCTTCATTGCAGCAATACGTGTGTCCTGAAGGAGTCACTATTGCAGCCTTTCCATTCGCCTGCTGTCCCCACCTTTACCTGCGCAACCACCAGGAAATCCTTCTTCTTTCTTAGAACAGAAAGAGAGAAGGAGAAGGAGACTCAGAGATGGCATCCGAGAGTTCAGTCACGTATTTTGGTGAGTTTCGATTGCTTGATCCTTTTTTTTTTTGGCCTTTGATTGGACTGCCATTTGCTTGTTCTGCTGCAGCAGTTCTGACCGGTCCTCCTGTGACTCCTTGACAACGTGATGCACCAAGAGAGAGTACTTGGAGAGATTATAGCTTATGATTGTGCTTTCTCTTGACAGGATGTTTGTGAATGTGGCCGGAGTGGTTTGTTATTAAGCATGTGTAGTGAGCCTTTTGGGTTTTAGTATATCACAACATGCAATCATTAAATTCCCAGTGTTTAAAACGGGTCGTGCCACAAACCGCCGATCTCCCGCAGCGTCTTCCGAGACTGAAAATGAGTACCCCTGTGTGAGACCTCAGGCACACGCTAAATATTCATGAGGAAACAAAGCTCCTATGTTACATTTGGAAAAGACGTGCTAGTTTCCAGGTTAAAAAATAGATCGTTTTTTATGTCTGATTACTATCAATAATATTGAAATATATTGTATGTCGTGAGAATATTTGTCGCAAAATGCTTAACAGTGAATAAACGTTATTTTAAAATTTTAAGTAAAATGCATCTCCTTGAAACCAAAAATCATTTTATTATATTTAATATCCCAGATTAAGAAAGTGATTGCTGAATTATTACAAATAGTAGCAGATTTGTTTGCCGTCTTATTTGATAGAATTTGTTGTCTAGTCACGGGAGTCAGTTGTCTATGAAGTTGCGGAAGCTGGTGCATATTGGTTTGAAAAACTTCCCAAGTTATCGGAAATAGGAGTCTGTCGGTAGGTCTTAGGACACCTGTGTTACGACGAGTGTTTATCACATGTTGCTTACTGTCACCATTTCCCCCTCTTTATCTAAGGCTTCTTTACATTTTGTTACCAATTAACACATCCCAGTGTCATAATGCTAAAACAATGCTATTACCCCAAACAGCCTTTTTTACACTCATATTCAACTCATAATTAGATCAGGCACTTGAGTCTGTTAGAAATATTTTGAAATCTTACTCTGTACTCCTAACAACGCTATTTGAAAAGCTCAGTTATTAGGAAATATTAAACTGCTGCTAAGTAACTAAAGCTCCTGAACACACGTACTTTAATCGCAAATGCAGGCGTTTTTTTTCTTCACACTTCCTTGATAGGTGAAAAATGTGAGCCAAATGCTGGATATAAGCCACATTTAAAAAAATGTCCTGGCAGCAGTATGAATACGCATTGAAATGTTCAGCTCTTTCTAACGCGGTTACCAACTGTTTTAAAGTTTACAACTTTAACATACGAACAGGAAAAATCGCAAGTCAACCGCATCTCTTTTTTTTACCGTTAATAAAAAAGATGACGCAACAGAAAGAAATGGCTCTCTCACATTGTTAATTTGTTGAGAAACAGGCAGCCAGCCTACCGAAGATACTTTATCATTATTTATCCTGTACCTCTCAGGCTTCTAAGGTTTCACTTCCTTTTTTCCTTCCTCTGTCTCCTGGACCTTTTTTGTGTGTTTCTGGTGAATATTAAAATGGAAACATCTGGCCTGGAGCACTTTCGCGCAGTTTAGGATTTATTGTGAACGGTTTACCAGGCATGAATATAGATACTTTCTGTGCTTAAAAGAGATTTGGCACTTGTATTTAATGTTTCCCTATAGTCATTAGTCTTTGTGCACTGGAGATTTTAGGTCATTTAAAATGGCATTTATTAATTGCTTTATGAGTATTCGTGTTATTTTGGAAGCAGAAACGTCGTCTCTTCTTTTTCTTTCAGCATGAACTAAACCTTTACCTGTTCCTGTGCAGCTTACGCATGCTGACCCAGCTACCCACTCAAAAAAAAATGAAATATCAGACATTTGTTTTACTTTGGGGGGGGACCATGTGAAAACGGGGAGAACATACAAACCCCACACACATCGCACCCCAGGAACTGAACTCAGGGCCCCAGTGCTGTGAGGCAGCAATGCTAACCTCTGCACCACTATGCACTATTTTATATTTTTCAAAATATAATGTGTATAAATACCGATAGATTTCTTTTAACGCTCATACATTCGCTGGCATCAAACATGCATACCCTATAGTTATGTCTTTAAATTGTTTAGGTGTTGCTCCCCAAATTCCCGTCCCATGTGTCCTGTTGAAGAAATAGATTTTGTGTGGGTCTTGAACTGGTAATTCAGAGACCCCAAAGCTTTCACTTTGAGAATTACATGCCACCTGTAATTTTTACAAAGGTGGAACAACTACATACAGTCATTAACTTCACGGGCACATTCAGACAAGTGCAATGCATACCATTTTATTCGTATTCAGTTTGGTTCAATTACAGTATAAAAAAATCTTCCCCTAGATTGTTGTTAAGTGAGTCCGTGTCAGATTGCAGAAATGGGACAACTGAAATAACTAGGTATCCACCCAATGCTTCTTGTTCTGAGACTACATATTTTTTTATTTAATTTTTTTCTTCTTTGTACCTTTTGTGTTGTCTCTCCCCAGGCGAGGAAGTCCAGTCTGAAGTTTTAGAACTGAAACCGTCCGCACCTCTCCTGTCAGAGCTGAGGATTGTGCTCCTGGGGTGGAGGTGGCCTGGGAAGAGTTTGACAGGGAACACGATCCTGGGCAGGGAGGAGTTTCATGTCGAGAGGGCAGCGGAGATCTGCGTAAAGAGAGAGGCAGAGGTGGCCCAGAGACAAGTCGTCGTCGTGGACACGCCCGGGTGGTATACAGAGCTGACCACTCCCGCGGCTTTCAAAGAGGAAATTGTGCGCAGCGTGTCTCTGTGCCCCCCAGGACCCCATGCTTTCCTGCTGGTGATTCCCACCGGGATGTTCACCGAGAGCGACAGGACGACCGTGGAGGAACTTCTGCGGCTCCTCGGCGATCAGGTCTGGAGGCACATGATTGTGGTCTTCACGTGGGGCAATATACTGAGGAAGAGGACCATCGAGAAGCACATTCAGGTGGAAGGGAAGGCACTCCAGTGGCTGGTGGAGAGCTGCAAGAACAGACATCATGTTCTCAACAACGACTACTTGAGGGATAACAAGCAGGTCGTCAAGCTCTTGGAGAAGATAGAGGACATGGTGGCAGTCGAAGGTTGCTATTCCAGCACGGTTGAGGAAAAGGGCTTGCCCAGCGAGAAAGAAGGAGAACATGGACCCAGCGCAATTGTCCTGGAGTAAGAGAGCGTGAAAAGTCACAAATAATTCATGGGCAGAAGAGGTGAGGATCTAGACTGGCCGTTGAGGGCGTTATCATTCCGTTCTGAAACCGACCCCTCATTAGATGAATTACTCAAGCCGCACCAATGAAAAAAGTCTTAAAGAAGAAAATACATCGCATCATCTGAGTATTAGAACATTCCCTGCTAGCAAGCAACAGTTGTGGGCCTTCTGTAATGAAAACCTTGAAGGAAAGATGATTTAAATTAATCTTATATGTAGTTACCTGGTGTTTCTCACACCTTGATTTAGGATATACAGTAATGGTGTTGAACTATTAGGTCAGCCTCTCTGCTTGTATGCTATGAATGAATATTAGTGCTTATAACTGTGAATTCCTTCCCAGTATCTGTAAAGGGGCATATTGCTGAGGAGTTAGCAGATTGCCTATGTGTTATAATTGCTTTTTTCTGGAGTGTAGAGTTGAAAGGACAATCGAGGTTTGTTTCCGATCAGCTATGACAGTGACCTCAAAGGCCACCTTCACACTAATGGTCGCTGTAATAATAACAACTCATCAAGTCCTTCTGTGACAATAATTAGGATTTGTACTTTTCCATGTACATATTATGCATATGTTGCAAAACAGGATAGCACTCCTTTTCCATAGTTGAATGACCTAATTAGATGAGTGAAAGGCTAATATATAAATTAATCGAGTTACCTAATATTTTTATGATCAAAGCTGTAGTCAAAATACAGTAGATATAATGTACATTCTGAGTAAGACACTGTTCTTAGTTTATTGTATTTAACTTATTTAAGATGGCAAAGAAACACTAGAGGAAGGATTCAGAAATTGTAAGATAAGTCTTAATGATGAGGCTTTTTTATCATAGTTTTTATCATTAAACTGTTATAAGAGAGAAACTGTTGGTACTTTACCTTACATGCAGTTGTTGTTTTCAGTTTTATGTGAGCAGTTTCAATATGGCCACTTATCTGTTGTAGGGATTGTTTCCTTTAGCTCAAAACAGCCACTTGAAACAAATCTGATCATAGCCTGTTTGTTCAAATTTTGTATAAGGAAACAAGGCTTTGTGGTGGCCAGTTTTAATATTAAACAAGTAAAGCAAAGCTTTGTAAATGGATGTGCCTCACACTTACAGTACTTGACCCAAGACTTACTTATACCTGGTTCTACTCCCAGTCGTGGACATTTTTAATCGGGACCTGTTACGCTTTGCCAGCCCTGAAAAATCAAATAGTTTGGTGAACTTTGTGTGTTGAATTTGTAGTAGTATTTATTTTCAGTTAATGTACCACACTAAACACTGATATTTCTTACAACACTGCAGGACTGTGGTATTATTACACTGTGATTGATTGCCTAACAACATCCCTGGTGTTTCACTTGCACAACTGGGTAATGAGTACATAAGAGGCTCGCAACACTGGATTTCTCCTTTATTTCTTAAGGGCTCTTCTGAGACTTGTCACACTTTATGGTCTCAGAAACGTCAGACTCCTGCAGTCAGCTGTGAGACTTCAGGTTACAGAGAGAGCAGGATCATTGCGCTGTATCGTTTTTGGTTTCATTTGGTAAAAAAAAAACAGTGCATCTGTCTGTATGTTAAATAGAGCTAGCAGTTCTTCTGCCACATTTTCTACTAAAATGTGCAACAAGTTCACTGACCTCACTCACATTTTAGGGGAAAGGACCTGTATTAGTGCATGATTTTGAGCATTACAGCCTAGGTTTTTCTGGACAGCTGTTGACTCCAAAAATGTTTGTACAGAGTAACTTGCCTTTCATCATGATTTTCATGATTTTTCTTTAGGTTTTTACAACGTTACCATGTGACAGATTAGCAATAGATAGGTCCTGGTTAAGGTGCTGCTTCATTTTTTGAGTAGTTTGTGAATAATGTTCTCTTTTTGTGTTCCTGCTCAAAACTAGCCTCTAGGTACTGAAGACTCTGTTGGGTTCAGATGACATTGGCTCACAGTTGTGGAGCTGCTGCCAGGTTGGATTACAAAGCAGAAAAGAGAAACACTTGTTGGTTCATACAGTGTAGGTAGTGTCAGCAGCCTCCCTAACCACATGAGTTTGGATGCTGGAGTTGCATTTAACATTAATGAGAGCTGGAAGAATAGCTCCACAGTTCTAATAGGGATATCTGGGCAACAGGCCTGCCCTTGAAGACGTGAAAACATCCAATGATATCTTACAAGTGCAGTGCCTTTTTAAGTTTTATATCTTGTAGTATTTGCTGGATAAAAAGCAATGGATACAAACGGAGCTTAAAACTAGTTTTATTTCCATCTTGTGTTTGATATTTCCTTATTTGTGATAGCTTTCATAATTAACTTCTGCTTGTAATAGTAGCTATTCTGTTTTATTCTTTGAGGATGATCTATTTGCATGTAATAGATTTTTGTGTTGCTTTGAGACTGTGTGTTTGTAGAGGTATGATTGTTTTAGTGAAGACTATTTCTATTAATAACTGCCTTGACCAATTCAGGGTCACAGTGAGCCAGAGCCGAAATTGGCTGACATTGGAGCCACGTCAGCACACACCCTGACTGGAATTGAAACTTGTCCATCATGGGGCAGGTGCACTAGTATGCGGGGGTGTATTTTTCCTGATACAAATTAACCTAGGTAGCATATCCTTGGACAGTGGGAGTCTTGGAACCTGGAACCCTACAAGGCCACAGAGCAGACATGCCGCCTCCACACAGGAAGCTCACCCAGGCTGGAATTGAACCTAGAATCCAAGAGCTGTGTGCTAACCACCACGCCAATGTTTTTTTCAAACAAACATCTTCACCTTCATTTTGGCAGTGTAGTATACTGTCTGAAAACGGAATGAGAGTCAGTCTGAGATCATCTTAAGTATAGAAATACAAATGTGGTGGGTCTTTAGAGGGTTTAAAAAAGTCAGTTCTGAGACAAAGTTATACAGCTGTAACAAACCGGCGCACGCAACACCAAAGTCAACAGAAGTGATGTGGCGCTGCCTCATTGTGAGTCAGCAGCCAGCTGTTTACTCGTGATGTGGGGCCGCCCAGAGCCACTGCTTCAGGGGGAAGTCGGGAAGCTCAGTACGTGTTTACAGGCCATGGCGCAAGTGCAGAGAAGTCGGGAGTTATGTCACTTTCATCCTGGGCTCGAGAGAGAGGGAAGTTCATTTGTGATGTGCACCTGTACAGTGGGATTCATATTTGCACTGTTCTCTTGATTTTTGCACAGTACAGTAGACAACCCTTTCACACAATGTGCACGGAGCAATCCGGAACAGCAACTTAATAATGACATCACAAAGAAACACAATAACATACAAAAGGTCATACAGAACAGGACGGAGCAGTGGCTCTGTGGCTAAGGATCAGCGCCTGTGGCTGGAAATTTGCCAGTTCAAATCCTGCGGCCGGCAGAGGAATCCTACTTTGTTGGGCCCCCGAGCAAAGCCCCTTAACCCCAACTGCTCCAGGGGCACCGTATAAATGGCTGACCCTGTGCTCTGACCCCAAGCTGCTCTCCCTGGCTGTGTGTCTCATGGAGAGCAAGTTGGAGTCTGCGAAAAGACATTTCCCTAAAACAAGAAATTGTATATGGATAATTAAGTGATCTTATCTTCTCAATACACAGGGCAATAAGCACGTGAAGTGATTTTCAACCACAGTGCCAGTTAAGCTTCCACTCAGTACAAAAGATGTGAGTGGATCAAAGTCCTGTCCCAGAATGGCATGAGAGTGCCAGCTCAGTCCCAGGTGGCAATCAAGCTGCAGCAGTCTCAATGTCTGTTCATTCTGAAGGGCCAACTCATTTGGGACTTGTTTTTAACCATTGGCTTTGTTTTTAAATACATGTGCGTTTTGCACATTTTGTTTGCATTTAGGGGGCGATTGTGATGCGCAAGTGGTTTGTTTGATTAAAGACTTGTGCTTGGAGTAGTGGGTGATGGCTTTCAGGCATGAGGTTGCAGGTTCATGTCCAGCTTAAAGGGCTGTGGGGCCTCATTAAACTTTTAATGGGGGTTGAAATACTGGGTACTGCATACTGAAAGTGACCCAGCTGATTGCCTTAATTAGTACGAATACCTCTTTGCAGTTTTTAGTTTTTTCTTATATTTCTTGGTCATTTAAACATTTAAAACATTTATATAAAAGTTTAATTGGCAAAGAAAAGCCTTGTGATGTTACTGTTAATAGGGCCATTAAGTGGTTGGTTTTAATAGTACTGAGCTTTTAATTGGTCTATCAGAATTGATGTGCTGGGAAAAATATTTTTTCATTGGTGATGGTCCTTGATACTTTATGACTATAGGAATTCCTTGTCTAATGCTGTTTCATCGCCAGATAATTTTGTGTGTACTCATTTGTATTTGTATTTTTCTAAAACCTTTTCCAAAGCTGATTAAATTATGAAAGTAAGTAGAAACTTTGGTGTCCACTTTTTTTTTCATGTTTATTCTGCAGAACATGAAGATATTCATGTTCTTCTGTGGTGAGGAAATTATTATTCTAATTGTTATTCTAAAATAATGTGACAATAGACACTTCAGCGTTGCAACATACACATAAAATGTATATTTTGTTATAGGTGCATAGGTGTTTTACCAATTAACTGACAAAACCATAGGATGTAATGGGAATTTAAGTGTTTTGAATATAGTGTCCAACAATTTAAACATTTAATAGATAGCAGATATTTTCTGTGATGGCATATGGCCCAGTCAATTAGTTAAAATGTAGGGAAACATTAAACATTTAGCATGACATGATGATGTTGGGGTTATTATGCAGGTTTTGGATGCAATCTCTTTTCATCACTTAGAAACAAGCTGACAAAGCTTCAGCAAAAGCATGTTTGCTGTCAGACTTACAAGTTGAGTCATACGTTTGGAACAATTTGAGTATCCTAATTTGTTCATTTAAGCCAGGGGATAGTTAGGTCCTTGAGTGCCACATTGCTATTTGGAGATTTTCAAGTGATGATCTCTGAACTAATCATCTGCTTTAGTGCTCAACATGAAATCGCTCCAACTGGTTACCAATGAAAGATGAGAAAACCACTCTAGGAAGAAGAAAAGGAAGAAGGAGCCTGTCAAAAAAAGCAGGTGGGACTTTAACCTTATTCTTAGTGAGTGAAGAATTTTGCTCTGTTGCTGAATTTACCTTCCAAGATTTGCACAAACAAAATCTCTCTTGAGTTTTCATTTTCATTTTTAAAATTGCCTCCAGTACGACTCGTCGTACCATAAATGAAGCTGGAATCGCAGGCGGAAGAGTAGAATGGAACCGCAGTGCAGATATTCCGGATAGTTCTGCTGTGGTTGCTGCTGTTAGGGATAACTGAGATTTTGAGAAGAGCGTCACGGAAAGTCCAGTCAATAACCTCCAAGATGTCTGCTCGCATGCAGTGAGTGAGGGGTGAGGCCAGTGTAAGGCTGCTCGGTGTGAGATCATTCAGCATTGCTGGAGAAAAGCCAGCTCATGACCTCAAGGACAGGAGAAAGACTTTAGTCTAGCAGCTGTGAATAGCAGCTGCCCTGCTCACTGATTGTGAGCTCACACCCAGAAAGCGATTATATTAGATGTAGGGGTCTAGAATCTCAATAGGATGACCAACAAAAAAGCTGTTTTGAAACCCTTCATTTCCTTAAAATTGATTGATGTTCATTATCTTGCTTGCTGTGAGTATTTCTTAGCTTAGGGTTTTCGGTTTTCTTCTGCTACCTGAATGATAACTGATGTTAGTGTTGCTACTCACAGACTTAAACACTTTTTTCAATCCAAGTGTTTTGTCAGGTGCACTAAATTGGTTATAGTTTTTTTTAGTTGTAAATGACCTTGATAAAAGCGCATGGTTTTGGACACACAGGACATTCAAACCAGGCACCCTTCTGGTGATCAACACTGTTGGCTATTAGTATGAATAATATTATTGATCAATGCCTGTTAGATTGAACAAGCATGCAAGTGGCCATAGACATTACCCACAGATCAAATCAAATGCCACTTTGTGGTTCATGTAAACGTATCACAGCAAGGAAACAGTCACTCAAGTGTCATCATGTTAAGCATGGGTAGGTAAAGGGTTTGTGCTGATGTATCAATGACTGGAACAGGTTTCTAAATATTGTCAGTAGGAGGCTGTGCAGAGATACTACCATAGACTAAAACTGGTGTTACTGACACCATTATGCTACTGCCATTAAGACAGTGTTTCTTAACCCAATTTTTAACAGTGCCTTCACATTTTCATCAATTCTACTTGTGTAATACTCTGACTAGATGTGAGAGCTGAGATTTGTAATCAGAAATTCCTTTTCCCCATGTAT